TAACATATGCGGAACAGTGTTCCACCTATTTTCACGCTATCTGGAACGCAGTTCCACCTAGATTCACTGGAACATTTTTGCAAAAATGTTCCACTTACTAAACGGAACTTATGTGGAACCAGCTTAAGAGTGTAGTGTAGTTCGAGCCTCCTCGACGAGGATCAGGCTTGGGAAATGCCATCGGTTAGTAAAGCTTAGGCAGGTGAAATTTCTTGTTTGGACAAAACAGCGGCACACAAAGGTTCTTCTACGTCGTAATTAGATAGCCCCGTGGCCGTAACCAAAAACACCACTTTCGCAACAGAGTTATCGGTAGGGACCTACCATATAGTTACGGATAGGGCTGAACAACCTGGCATTGAACAGAATTTCGCGTTTTCGGAATTTCATTTGCGTAGTTCGGTGGTGTATTTCTGGGTTTATTTTTTTTTTGTAGAGATTCGGTGTCATTCTGAATCACTTTTAGGTGTCGCAAAAAAATAACAATACAAATTAACGGGCTAGTGTTATAAAAAAACGCGACACAACATGGTATTTTTTCACCGAACACTGCGATGCCTGATATTTGTACACGGATTGGGCAGTGCTCTTTTAACATTATATTTGAAACCGTCAAAAAAATTTCAGAGGTCGAGAGGCGAAAATGGTTTTCCCCAATCCTACCGAAAAACCCAGTATATCTGTTCGAAATGTAAATTTTCGAACTGGATATATAACTGGAATTGTTTCTCAAAACCCGCAATCCTTAAGGCGGACAAAATAATAAGTTATGAAAACTTAAAATTCATGTACAATTGAGGTATATTTCCAGTTCTATATCCCAGATTGCTAAAGGCCGTTCTTAGTTTTTTCGGTAGGGCTAATTCTCGAGCTTTATTTAATCATTTAATTATACTTTTGGCCTGTGGGCCATTAGTGAAATAACCGAAACTTTAAAGTACATTTTATGAATAATACACAGATCTATGATTCAGAGACAGATGCATTTAAACGTGTATAAATCTCAACAAAGTAAGGAACACAGAAAATAAAATAAAAAAAAAATTATATAAATATTGTTGAGCGAGGCCTCTCAAGCTGACTTCAAAACCTTCAACGATGTCTCATTCAAAAGTATCTTGAGGTAGGTTGTTCCACTTGGCCATGGTCCTCGGAAAAAAGGAATACTTAAAAGGTCGATCCCGGCTTTCATCGGCGTCAGCATTTAAGTATGACTGCCCCGAAGTCCCCTAGTAGAGCGAGACTTTAAATATTGAAGCGAAGTCTATGTTTAACATTTTGCGTTGCACCAAATACAGCAGTTTTAATCAGGCTACTCTCCTTCGTTCTTCCAATGGCGGCAAGTTGAGTTGGGTGAGCATCGCACTGACACACTCAGTCCTTCGGTATCTGGATCCGACACATCTGGCAGCTCTCCTTTGTACCTTTTCTAATTTTTAAATGCATTTTTTTTATGAGTCCTGCACACTGCTCGCACATTCCAAGACCGGGCGTTCAAATGTTAGGTAGGCAGTTACTTTTGCTTCCTCTGTTTCTAATTTGAGGTAAAGTCTCAAGATTTACAATTTTCCTTCAGTGGTGCTTGTAAAGTTGTCGATACGGGATTTCCGGCTCATCTCCCAACACGGTTACACGAGGGAATTTAAAATTACTGGCGAACACTAGTGGACTACCGTTAAGTTCTTAATAAAATAATCGCTTTTTTCAATTTTACTTGAGAATACCGTCTTTGCGGGATCAATTTGCATTTTGACCGCTTGAACCACTCATTAATAGTGTTTAACGCTATGATCGAAGCGATCAGAGGCCAGATTCACTAAGAATGTCTTATCTTAAGAGATTTTTTCTAAGAAGTTCGTAACTCAAGAAGTTCTTAAGATGAGCGGAAATCGGCATTCTCGAAGGGGTTCTTACGAATTACTTGCGAACGAACTGGCTACGGCAAAATTAAGTGAAGGAAAGAGAGAAACTTCCGGTATCTCGCGATGCTCGCAAACAACGAGAGCTGCGAGAGCGAAGCGTTGCCCTGACGACGACAGGAGACGCCTTGCCCGCCCCACGTGTAGTTGCCTCATCGACGGCAGTAGTGCGGACCGTGGTCTACGCGAATGACGGCGACAGAGGGCAAAAAGCAGCGAATGCCAAACTTTACGGAAGTTGAATTGGAAACACTAGTCGACGGTTACGAGGCACGTGAAACGCGATAGACGCGAAGGGCGATGACCCGCATGGCTCCGCCGCCAAGCAGCGTGCCTGGCTGCAAATCACTAAGGATTTATATGCCGTTTCCGGCGTAAGACGAGACGTGGCCGAGGTGAAGAAGAAATGGGCCGATTACAAGAGCATCCACAAAAAGCGAGGTAAGGCATCCTTTCAGCTTTCTTACAGTTCGCGAAATACGCGAAATAAGTTGCGATAGGATCGTTAGACACACGCAGCAGAAACCGACTATCTCTAACAGTGTCGCGCTGTGTGTATAAGGCGCGAAATGTTTGGCGTGAATGCAGAGTCGACGACCGAGCGCATTTTATTACTTAGCTTAGTGCTGCCAGATACTGCAGAAGTCTGTTGGCTTCTTTCAACAACAAAGGACATCAATAGCCCAAGCATGTAATGAGGTAGGTCGGCAATTAAGTTCGCTCATACCTAGTGCCAAACACGAAAAATGATCGCATAGCTCAAAAATATCCTTCGTACATTCTACCAACTAGCCCAAGCTTCAGTCTTAGCAATTTTCATACCCACAGACATCGATCGCACAAACAGTAGGGTGGTAGCCTTCGCTACGCGAACGTAATTCGAAAATTAGTGATATTGCTTGGATTAGCATTGCAGTAAAATCTGTTGGAAGTTATAGCCAATCGTTGTCATTAACGTCGTCCCGTGCTTGTCCTTTTTGTGTCTAAGGTTTGAGAATGTTTAACGGTAACCAGCTCGACTGCCTAATCACATTTCCTAAAAAAAAAACAGGTCGTATGTTTTTTTTACGCAATTGTTTGTATTATTTAATTAGTTCTTAGTACGAACCAACTAACCTAACGAAGAGTCGTGATGTAACTGATAATTCGCGCAAACTGCACCCCACTTTGACCCGTTACTTGATACTGACATGATGCACAGGTGCATCCTTGAAGCGCAGCCAGGGAACCACCGGAGGCGGCGTTGATGACAAGCCTCTCAATGATGTGGAGGAGAGAATGGTGGGGCTCCTGAGCGTGGAGGCAATGGCCGGCATCCCTGGCGCCTTCGATATTGGGGTTGCGGTCGAGGTGCCAATGGACGAGCCCTTCAGCCTGCCGTTCTTGGGTAGGTTTACACTTGGATGAACAAACTGCTTGCATCCCCTCATTAATGGGTGTCATGTGTTGTCACAAATGGTTGCCAAAACGTTCCACAATTGTTATGAGGTTCTGCACATGCAGTAGTTGCATTTCATATGGTCGTGTTTCCCTACTCCAACAACCGGTTTAAATTCCAATCATCCCAGGCACTCCCGCAACATCACAGGCAGCAAGCCCGGGCTCAGTCGAGCTAGTTCCCTCCATTGGTGAGCTTTTCAACCTCAAAATTTAGGTGTAGCATGACTGATCATTTTGCTCTGTATTTAAATGATCTAGACGATGGGACCTAATTATTCCGTTAAACAGGACATGACTGTTCTACATTTCTACGAAAGATTGTGTTTGTATCAGAACAATGTTTTTTTTTTTGCAAGATACGACTCCAGGACCATGCAGGCCTGCTTCATCTAGACCGCCACGTGCAAGGTTTGCTGCATATAACTTTTCGATTGCTTTTATAATGGTAGCACCTGTATCATTCGAGTAAATTGCATTTGGCGTCCAGTATAGACCTACATTTCAAAATAGAAACTGTTATTTAACTCTTTTTGTTCGAACAGCGTTAGAATGGAGAGAGTTTGATCATGATCTGTTTGCACCTGCATTTTGACCGAACAAGTTTTCTGAAACCCCCTCTCTGTAATAATGCCTTCAGGACACTGCAGGTAATCATCGGTAAATAAATACATAACATTGCCCATAGTGGTTATAAGTTGAACACCTAATGTCTCTTTTTTTTTTTGTCTTTCAGCTTATTTGGCGTTCAACGCGTACACCCACAGGAAGACGCAGGTGGGTGGCTTTGGTTCTTTGGGTTGAGCAATCAAGCTTGCTCATCACAACTTGTTCTAGTCTATCGGTCATATATTAGCCAGCAGTTTACAAGGCAGTGTACTAAGCTCTATTCGTTTTTCTATTCAGAAAACCACGATGCCGGCGGATGTCTGCTGCAAGACGACGGTGGGGCTTCGCTCCGCACTTCAAGGAGTCACAAACCCAACCAAAGGCGTTAGTATCATTCTACTAGATGTGGATTGCAACACCAACCTCACATTGAATCCAAAGCCACACTGCACCAAATATCCAGCAGTGTGATAAAACTAGTCTGCAAATATCGAAACAAGGCAATCTGCCCAGTAACATCTACCGTAGAAAAGACCACTCCTCCCGTCGGCTTTTTTTCACTTGTTCCACGTTTCTGAGTGCCGTGCATTTCTCTCCGAAAAAAAGTATGACATTTTTTTGCTGGCTAAAACTGATTGAATACCAATATGCCTTTCGTTAAATCACCTAAGCTCCAAGAAACATGATGTGTGTTGTTGCACGCACTGCACATGGTAGTGCGTGCAGCAGCAACTGTTCCGTAATAGATACCTACTTTACAAATGACACCTTGCAAATGCTTTTGCCAACTTTATTTTGATCATTTACTTCCCTAATTTTCTATAAGATAAGGCGAGTGAATATACCTACTTCTTGGTGTTCGGGTAATTTAGCAAAAGGTCCCTTGTCTCATTAACAACTTGTTTTTATCATTCATGCACGCTTCGTATGCCCAACCTGGACATGTATTCTTTACGCGAGTTTCACAACAGTATCATGGAAACATGATCACAAAATGGTTTTCCAATTCTCAATAAGGCAAGCAACCATTTTCCTTTATGTGCAGGTGACATGGAGGACCATAGCCACAAGATTATCGAATCTCAGCAAGCTATTGTTGAACGCCTGGACCAGATTATAGAACTGCAGAAGCAGAGGGTGGCACTTGAAGCCTACAACCTCAACGTGCAGTTTGTAGATGGCTAAATTGTCCCTATGTAATAATAAGAAGACACTCAAGTACAATAACAAAACATTGTTTCTTTAATACACACAAGGCTTTTCTTTTACCTGCACCCATTGATGCTTAAGGTTTAGACGGAAGAGCTCCAACCGAAATCCAAAAAATGGTTCAGCCCGACCTTTCAAAACCTGCTCAGCTTCTTCATCAGGAGTGACTAAATCGTGAGGAGCAGCAGCAGTTTTCATCTTCTTCTTAGTTGTTTTTGACTCGAATTTTCTTCTTCTATTATACAGATGGTTTCTCGTTTGTTGCCGTCGTCAGGTAGCGCAATCCATGGACATGGACTGCACCACAGAAGAAAACTCGAGTCGAAAACAACTAAGAAGAAGATGAAAACTGCTGCTGCTCCTCGCGATTTAGTCACCCCTGATGAAGAAACCGAGCAGGTTTTGAAACGTCGGGCTGAACTGTTTTTGCATTACGGTTGGAGCTCTTCCGTCGAAAATGTTCTCAATCAAGCCAATGATGCTTTGTAGCATGCTTTCACAAACTCACTTAAAAACGGTGTTGACAAGCTCATTTCTGACTGCTTTGCCAGAGGGTGTGTCTTGGGCGGTGCTCGGCCTGTCCTCTTCTTCCTCTTCCTCATCGTCGGATTCTTCAACTGTTCAGAACACCATATTTAGCACAGCACAAAGGGACATCAACAAGGCTTGCAAGAACAGTTATAACATTGCAATAACTCAATAAACTGCCGGAAGCACTTTCCAAGGAACGTGTTTACAAACTATGGGGTTCACACATCATTCTACAGGCTCAAACTGAAATATGTAAATTGAACTGTAAGAAGATAACAATATGCAAAGGTTACGGTAGGTGGTGCCACCGTACTGCAACATCCTGGAAATGCCCAGATTTGAGTCACTAAATAAGCTACGCTCAGAGTAACTAAAATTTCTCTTCAGACTGTGTTGTGGGGGTACAGTTGGCGATCATTATAATTTTTAAATGTGGCTTCCTGAGCGGTGGCAGGAAGTTCAGGCGACACTGTTTCGCTCTGTTGCGGATTCTTTGAATATTTCTGGAGGATGGAAATCCATTTTTTTGGCTTTTCAGACATAGCTTCAGATAACTGGCGAATATAACCTGAAGCGCCAAGATATAACAAGCATCATTGCTCTGAAGCGTAGCTTATTTGGAGGCCCTAGCCCAGACATATATTGGTTGTGACCTGACATCGCATGACTTGTTTAAACAGTGACTAGGTTGTTTATGGCAAGGCGATGTGAATCATCGGATTTTGAACGGGGTATGGTTGTGGGTGTCTGATGGATGGGAGATTTCATTTCCAAAGCTGCACAGATAATCAACATTCCTTGATCTAGAGTGTTATGATATTTACTAAAAATACCGCGTGTGTGTGACCTTCGTTAAACAAATTTAAAGCCTGTATGTGTGAGCCGTGAAAGTGCTCATCGAACAATGTGTGAATTTATACCTACAGACTGGAGAATTTCCAAACAAAGAATAGAGCTGCAGTTGTAGGCAGCTAGACTTAGTCGCCCTCTACCATCACGTCACTAGCGGAGGAGAATGGTACCTCTCGCAGAGCAGATGTGAAATGAGCCCAGAGTCGCACCAAACAAGGCTGTTGCTAGCCTCATTCATTTGTGGAATTTTTAGTTCATCAAAGCACAAAACCTTTAGCAAATATGTCTTTCTTACCGGGTGGTTCTGCAAGGGAGATGTGGTGGCGAGTGCAGTAGTTGTGCAGGACTGCGCAGGCTACGATCAAGCGGCAGCACACACCAGGAGAGTATTGCAGGACACCGCCGGACCTGTCCAGGCACCTAAAGCGGGACTTCATTATGCCAAAAGTTCTCTCGATGACTTGTCTCGTCTTCGTCAGGCCGTCATTGTAGTTCTCCTCCTCCTTCTTTTGGAACTTGCGGAAGGGTGTCATGAGCCATGGCTGGAGGGGGTAACCTGCATCTCCTACAATGTTGCAAATAACACAAGATTTAATGTCAGAATGTGCATAAGTAACGCACTCATCACAAGGTTGAACCTGAATTAAACTAACTCACCCTTTCCGCCTCATACCTACATTGGCACAACTCCCACCAATATTTTCTTTTTTAACAACCAAGTCAGCTATTTTAGGCCTAACGCAACAAAGCACTCGAGCAATGCTTGGGTTGAGAGCCAAAGGGTCGGCAAATTTAGCTCCCACTATCTGGTAGCTCGGACATGAACAGGCGTAGTATTGATGTGCTTTCATAGATAACTACTTTGAGATTTACAGTGAACTCCCAAGAAGGTACACACGCAGCACTTTCCAAACTTCACTCGGCACAACACATATTGACCGCGAAAAAATTGGTAAGACGCTTAAAGGGCCCATAAAACAAATTTTGGGCTGGGATAAACGAATTTGGATTGGGATTTTACTAAGAACATTGTTTAGTTGGCCAAAAGAAAGAAGGCAGAAAGTGAAAAACCTAACTGCAAGTACAAACATTTGAAAACACAGCAGACTATGTCCTACCTCCTTCCCTTTGAAAGCTCTCTGCCTTTTCACTGTGATACATCCGCGGTTCCCAGAGCGTGTCACCCGGCCAAAACGCACGTCACACTACACCGGACCACACTTATACCCGATACCTTTCAGCTGACAGTGTGGTGGAAGCTATGCAATTGCCGGACCAATCAGTTGCCTCCCTTTCATCACTAGTCAAAGTGTGGCTGGCCCAACGAGCACGTAGCTTCCACAGCATTGTCAGCTTCCGGGTGAACGGGGTGGGGAAAGGAACTTTTGTCAGAGTTTTGAGCGACAGGCTAATCTTCCAGGAGTAGAATGGCAGTGTCGGGTACACAAACAAGGGCCCAAGCAAGAGTTGAGAAGGTAAGCTAAACAGGAAAAAGTTTAAAAATTGTTTCCTGACCCCTTTAAGCTTAACCGAAATCTGGATTTCACAAAACATGGCGGCAGACGCGTGCAACGGGATGCTACGAACACCAAAACATCACTCGTGCAGCGATATCTCGAACGGATGACCGTATTTTTCTAAAAAAGGAGGCACATTTGACAGGTATGTTGACGTCTTGTTTAGTCGAGGAGAGGAAATGGCCTTGCGTCTTCTCTGCGTCGCCGCCTTGAAGCGAAGAGAGGAGGAAACTAGATATGTTCACGTCGCGCGCCTCGTTCAATCTCGACTTCTTTTTCAAAAATGCAGCCGTCCACTCAAGATATTGCCTTGAGAGTGGTGTTGTATAGATTGTAGCGTCCCACCTACCGCTCCTGCATTGTTTTCTGAAATCCAAATTTTGGTTCACCCACCCTTTAAGAGTGGCACGTGGCAGTTTTTTTTTTTTTTTTTGTGCCCTATGTTTATTGTGGCCTCCGAGACTCCCGCAGAATCTAGGAGGCTATACCATATAGGCCCCGGCTCGTTCCCAAGGCATGCAAGCGGGCTGCGTGGCCTAGTCGGTAGCATGCCGGGCTCGCAACCAAATGGTCGTGTTGGCAAAACAAGCTTCATGACGCAGTTCAAGGTGTGCAAATCGCTGGAATCCCACGATTATTTCACGAGCGCCTCTAAAAGCGGCGATTGAAAGTTCTTAGTAGCCAAATTTTTTGGTTACTAAGAATTTGGCTACTTCTTAGTAGCCAAATTTACCAGCACCAAAGTGCTGGTAAATGATGTAGGGCTACCATGTCTGATTCGCTGACTGTTGCCAAGCTGTTAAATTATTGGTACAATGAAGCAGAGGGCAACCATGTCATGAACGTGGAAAGCCGATGCAAAGGCTTGCATGAACATAACCACATTAGAAATGTGCTGTCACACACTGGAAATGAAATGCATCAAAACTAAATAATTGACACTGTGTAATCAATTTTCATTGTCCTTTAGAGCTTTCTCTGCCACCCATACCTTTTCTTTCTCGACAGCTGCTCTGTTACAAGTATGCCGATGCAACGATTACCGGCATATGTTAGAAACTGCCGTCTCTTTTTTCCTTGAGGGATTTCTATGCGGAGCAGTTTACCATAATTTTCAATGCAAACGGCTGTCGACTCAATCACCAGCATGTGGTGGTCGCTTGTGCTTAACATAATCTGTCGCAGGTACAGTGGGCATCAGTATGAGCTGGCTCGACAGAACGCCGGCTGGAGCGGTCAAAATCCCTCATTGGCCACCCCTGATGCGATAAGCTGTCAGAAGCGAGGCTGGCATGTACTGCCGCCATTTTATGCAAGGGGCAGGGTGAATCTATGAAAGTCACCACCGATGCACAGCTTATCGCTACTAACATCCCCCCTCCCCCCCCCCCCCCCCTTGCATGAAACTTCGGTATTTGTTCCAGCCTCTATCAGGGGAGCCCAATGCGGAATTTTCACGGCTCCGGTCGGTGTCTCGTCGAGCCAGCTCATATGGGTGCCCACTGTACAACCCAAGTAAAAACAAAGTATGTAGCAAGCAACCACCCTTCAGGCATGTCCCCCGCCTCAAACTTGTCGGCAAGGTCGCAGTTCCGCCACATGAAACTGTCATGCGTGCTGCCAGGCCATTTCACCGTCAGCTGCGTTATTTCCTTTGAGGCATTGCAGATGGCCTGCACGTTAAGAGAGTCATATCCCTTCCGGTTCCTGTAGATGTGCTGGTCTTGTTTGGCAATCTTCAGGGCGATGTGGGTGCCGTCTATGCACCCCAGCACCTTGGGGAACCCATTGATCTCCAGGAAACCTGGAGGATACACATCAAACAAATGTACAATATTCTGTCATGCCATGTGCATTCTGAACACTGTTTGCAGCATTGAAACAAGTGATGCAAACACTTTGCCCGAACGAGAGGGGACTTTATAAGTCAGTCATGCCTTGAATGAAGCAACATAACAATAATTTAAACGCGATTAACTGAACAAGGAAGAGAGGTGAGGGTGCCACATGTAATTTTACTTTCCTTTTTTTATGCTGGCCATCGTTCAGCCTACTGCTGCGCGGACATTCAATATGCAATCTATTACTAACAAAACATCGCAGCGAGCTGCCTACGCACTCGCATTCCGTACGCTATTCTAGTTCCTGATCGGCTCCCCCTGGTAACTCATAAATTAGCGGCGCCCACGGAAAGCGATCTTCGATGGCAGTGTTTTGCCCCTCCCCCCCCCCCCCCTATCAAATACGAGGGTCAGGCAAAGAGAACGGGCTAGAGTGCTTCTTGGTGCGCGTTTATGTCGCTAAGCAAACGGTGCACGACATCAGCGAAACACTTACCGCGTGCAGTGAGCAGTGCGGCCCGCGACGTCGCTGGAAACTTCATTCCGGATTTCGCGAGTTCGCACAGGGCACCGCTCACAGTATTGATAATCCTCGAGGCACTGGTCTGGCTCATGTTCGCAACATCTCCCACCACAGACTGAAAACTGCCGCTCGCGTGAAAACGGAGCGCCAGCAGGACTTGGGCGTCTACGGGCAGCGAATGTGACCGAGCCGTCGGTCGGCGAAGCGCTGGCGCTAGGGCGTCACAGAGCCGCTGCACAGCGGACCTCGGCAGACGGTAGTATCGCTCAAGGTGGTGATTGGCTATTGTATCTAGTGTCCGACGGGTCCGGAAGACGCGCTGCTGCCGCAAACTTCTTCTGGCGTCGTTTTCCTGCTCAATCAAGAGCGCGATGTAGGCAGCCATTTTGGTCGAATGGTTGCCAAGAAGTTCGTAAGTGCATTTGGACCCCTGTCGTAGGATTTTGTCTTAACTTACGAAAAAACTGAGAACATTTTGCTTCGGGAATACCGAAAGGTTCGTAACTTTTGCGTAAGTTATATTTACGAACTTTTTTGTCGTAAGATAGCTTTGAGAATCCGGCCTCTGATCTTCAGGACACATACCGGGTGAAACAAGGAGACGGTAGGCTCTTTAAATCGACCGTAAAATTCGGTTTCTTAACCTATCGCGCTACGACTTTGTGCAGCGTTGCCCACAGATGGTGCATTTTTTTCGTAAAATTTGCAAAGAGCGAACTTACCTGAGGAAAAAGTAAAGAAAGAAAAAGGCTTAGCTCCTATGGAAACGCAGCGACGCCACCGGTCTGCAATCAACACGGCGCCATTTCGCACGGTAGACAAGAGATGGCGCAAGCGGTCGCGACGCCAACTGCCGCCAACGAACGACCAGGCGCCACTGAGAGCCGGCCCTTTAGCAGACAATCTTTCGACTCAAAAGCGGCGCGAGCTTTTCTGGTATCAGTTGGCAATGCATTATTTTATCATTTTTACTAATAAAACACAATGAATGGACACATGATCGATTAAAAAAATGGTTTGTCGGGTTATTTTGACTGTTTTTTTTTTTCGGGGTACTGATGTCGTCTGCTTTGCAGTTCGTCTTTACTACCGCCTCTGCCTTTGGTTCTGCGACTGTTATTCGCGCTGTTTTCTTACGTTTGACGTCGGTATGGTGCGTTTAACTCCCAGCGAACGAGCTAAGGTCGTACTTTGGTACGGGGAGTGCCATAGGACTAAAGAAGTCCGCCGACGCTTCCGAACGGAGTTCAGGCGACGGCCTCCGAACTCGCCTGCCATCCTGCGCTGGATGAGGCGCTTCGAAGAGAACGGATACGTCCGCGATAAGAAACGGACCAGTCTGTCGCCCTCACAGCACGATGTGTACTTAGAGAATGCGATCCTTGGTGCGTTTTCTGCGGATCCGCACCTGTTATCCCGGAGGGGGGCCAGGCTCTTCGACGTTTCTCAAATGTACGTTCTCCGGGCATTGAAGAAGAACCGCTTGTTTGCGTACAAAATGCAGACCCTGCAAGAGCTCTCAGATAATGACAAGGCGAAGCGCCTCGCATTTTGTCAAGATGAGCTGGCCCGAATAGACCGATCTCACCAGCTAGTTTGAGTACGCCACCGCTGCCGATATGCATCGTGGGAGCTGTAGTCTTTCTACACGTGCGACAACCATGCTGGAGGTTTGCGCGAGCAGACCACGAGGCAGCATGAGCTGTCGCGTGAACTGGAGTCTGCCTCCTACGAACTACAGTTATGGCGGCGTCACGCATGCGTGGAACGCTTCGTGGGATCTGTCTATTGCAACTGACCCAAACCATCTCCAGTTTCTGATGTTCAGCGACGAGGCAATCTTCCACCTCGATGGCCATGTGAACAAGCAGAATTTCCGATATTGGAGTGAGGCAGACCCCCACTGGAACCAAGAGGAAGCTGCCCACTCGCCAAAGACTACAGTATGGTGCGGAATTTGGAGAGGAAAAATCGTCGGGCCATTTTTTTTTTTTTTTTTTGATAGCTCAGTGACTGGCGAGTTTTATCTTCAAATGCTGCAGGAAGAGTTCCTTCCCGAACTGGAACAGCTGCACATGCAGAAAGAAAGCTGGATATTTCAACAGGATGGGGCGCCTCCGCACTACGCGTCCACGGTGCGCGCCTGGCTCGATAGCACGTTTCCAGGCAGGTGGATGGGCAGGGCATCCTCCGCCATGCCGTGGCCACCACGCTCCGCGGATCTCACGATCTGTGACTTTTTCGTTTGGGGCTTTATTAAGTCCAAGGTGTACGTCGGCCGCATCGCCACCGTGGCCGACCTGAAGGCTCGCATTGAGAGAGCCTTCCTCTTGATATCTGACAGGATGCGAGGCGCAGCCTTTGAGGAATACCTCCGCCGGCTCCGTCGTTGCGTCGACCTCCGTGGAGGGCACGTCGAGCTCCGTTAAACGTGCTGCCCAGTTGTTTTTTTTTTTTTTTTTGGGGGGGGGGGGGGGGGTTGGTTTGTTTCGAAGCCTCTGATCGTTTTTTTTTTTGTTTTGTTTGTTTGCTTTTATTGACAAGCATCTCGAAGACTGAACTGTGCCAAACGGCCCTCATTAGGGCCAACCACATATGCATTTGGATGCATCACTTCCGTGAAGCCTCCTCCCGTGTTCCTATCTCCGCTCCACCTAAAAACAAACAAAAAAATGTTTTTGCCGCTCACACGAACGAAAAAAACGCATGAATACTCCACTGAACATATTTGTGTGTTCGTGACCACGGTAAGCAGAAACACGATAAAACGTAGGCTGGGATTGCCTCGTCCCGAGTTCTCGCCACCTGCGGAACGCACGACGCTTTTGAGTCGAAAAATTCGTCTGCTAAAGAGCCTTTGAGGAATACCTCGGCCGGCTCTCGGCGCCCGTTTGCTCGTTCGTTGGCGGCGTTCGTTGCGCCATCTCTTGTCTACCGTGCAAAACGGCGCCGTGTTGTTTGCAGACCGGTGGCGTCGCTGCGTTTCCATAGGAGCTAAGCCTTTTTCTTTCTTTACTTTTTCCTCAGGTAAGTTCGCTCTTTGCAAATTTTACAAAAAAAAATGCACCATTTGTGGGCAACGCTGCACAAAGTCGTAGCGCGATAGGTTAAGAAACCGAATTTTCCGGTCGATTTAAAGAGCCTACCGTCTCCTTGCTTCACCCGGTAAATCTGGAATAAATTAGGCAGTCGTCGTCGAATGACCGAGTGTTGAATTTGGATCTAATGTTGCCTGCAATATCTTTAATATAACTTTAAAATATTACCGGCCCCAGCACTGACCCCCAGGGAACTCCCGACCCGACTTTTAATATATTAGATGCATCACCGTTGACTTCTCCAAATTGAGTAGGATTCGTGAGGTAGGTTCTGATCCACTTCAATACCTGTAAATTTATACGGGCGTCTACTAACTTTTTAATGAGTTGTGCATGTGAGACGCGATCGAAAGTTTTTGGAAGGTTCAGGCACATTAAATCCGTCTGTCCCCTCTCATTGCGCGAAGTCACAAAATCGTGTATGGTTTTTGTCGGTGTCGGACTATGGATAGCTTCCGCCAGAATTCGTGCTGGTTTGGGTTAAAAGAGTATAAATACCCAAAGTACTCAGAGGTCACTAGATAATATACCCTCAAGTATTTTGTAACAAACGCAGGTGCGTGCAATATAACAGTAGTTTTTAATGATAAGTTTGCTCTCAGTTTTATTAAAGAGGAAACGTAGTTTATCAGGCTCCTTACATATTTAAAGTTTCTTTTGTGCCACTGGGCGATAAGAGTTTTGTAAAACACAAAGCATATCGTTTTATTGTTCTTGAAACGGCTACTAATATCTACAAAGTGCAAATGCAATACGTTCCTAATTCTTATATATTTTCCGTATGCCATATTTGCGCCTGCTTTGAAATTATTAATGCAAATTATAAAATGTCAAATAAGCTTTCTTTTTCTGAAGAACAACTTTATGGAGCTTCTACCTTTTAGCTGATTGTTAATCGTAACCTTTCGGTAGACATGACGTCTCCTGCAGCAATTTTATCAATTTTACATACATTGTGGTGCGCTCATTAATGTTGACCGTATGTACATCTAGACATTAGAATAGTAACAACGGCGAGGGAGCTTTTAGAAGCACCCTAACGTTCCAAACGGAGCCTAACAGCCTACTGTTGAAGGACAGGGAAAACGCCCAGATCAATAATGAAAGCAGCTTACCGGGCGTGTCTTTGAAAAGAAGCGGTACGCTATAAACCAATCACGTCAGTGAGTGAGAGTGGAAGTAAAGGGCACAGGGAGTCCTCCTCTATGGCAGGTTGGTTGAAGATTTAGTTGCTTCAAACACCCAGTCAGCGAACGTCTACGTCCAAGAGCATCAGTGAGAAAATCGGATTACTGATACGATTCATAACATAGTATTGTACGTATTATTGTATACTAGGAACTTAGGGTACAGTTCAGAAACGCAATAGTTTCTTATTCCACGGAAGGCATGCCGTCTCTGCAGTTCTTTATACCGCTCTTCAAAAGTGTTTCTAGACAACGAGCTGTTTTCCTGGGGACAGTCATCACGGCTACGTTGCTGACAAGAGGAATAACTGCAGGCGAACCGAATGAGGTCTTGACCATGAAATCCTTCATTTCATCGGACCTATTCGACGGCTTCTTGTCATCCTTCAACCCCGAAAACAAGCCCCTGGACATATTTGTGCCGCAGCATTGCCTCGTGGAAAACGCGACAATGTTCAAAACTTTTGTGAATTCCTTAGCATATACAGTGACAATCTGGACTGACGGAATTATTCAGCGTGACTCATGCGATTTCGCAATTTGCTGTCTTTTTAGGGGAACTTATGTTCCGATCTTATATTTTGTGTGTAATGATCTTGTTTTAGGAGATTTATTGCGTAGCATGTTTTCGGCATATTACATGAGAGCGTTCATGATTTCTGAGGTGGTGACGTTCAAACGTCTATTGAGTGGCATACACAAGAGAGCTCCGTTTATGCCAGAATTTCCCGGAGCCAGTGGTACCTTCAAATTAATGCTGTTTAACGGCAGCGTGCACATCCAAGACGAGTTCCGAGTTCAGTCCT